TCTCAACATGACACTAGTTCTCCCCACTACTGTATTCCGTAAGGAATGGAATGGAACCCTCCCACCCCACCACACCCACCCCACCCCCTACAGGCCAGTTAACTCTTTCTGAGGGAAACCCACTACACCGAGGCCCTTTTTTGGTGCTAAACCTAAAAATGACAAAGGGTCATTAAATCGAAACTGCAAACCTACTTTAATAGTTCTTTATCTAGTGAATGAACTTCTGGTATAAGAGACCTGTTGATTTGATGTCGAAGTTGGCGTAAAGGAATGTGCCCGAGCCGCTGTCCACCGGCACAGTGGTTCCGACCGCGAGGCGCTGGGAGCGGCTTGCCGGAGACAAAGAGTTAATGGTGGTTTGCCGGAGATAAAAAGTTAATGGACCAGTTCTCCGCCCTCTAAATCACAATTCCCAGACACATGAGTGGCTGCTGCTCCAGGAGCGTCGTACTAACCTTGACCTCATCCTGATCCTCCTCGTCCTGAACATACTCCCAGGTCACAGCGTCTCCTGCGTCACTGCAGCAGATAGAGAAAGTCACGTGACTTGTCATACACATACATACAGTGGTAGGTGACTTGTCATACACAAACATACTGCAGGTAGGTAGGTGTTTTACTCACTGTTAACACACATTTTACAGAAGAGACTTCCATGAAAATAGCATAAACTATCAATGATATACACATCACAAACATTTTTAAATCTTGTTGATACTTACTGTAACCACTTGGTGATACAGATCTGTATCAATGACTTACTCACGGCGTCCCAGCAGCGGAATTTCAGTTGCAGTGGGAAGGGGGGGGGGGGGGAGGAGGCTCCTGGTGCCTTATCACGTCGGGGTCACGGGGGTCAGCTCACTCAGGCTGGGCTGACTGAATTTTCGGAACTTTTCAACTTACAGTTTTCACTCACTCAATCCCTCAAGTTTTTCCAAAAAATGTACCCAGAATCCAGCCATTTCTGCACTAACGGAAGGGCCCACTAAGAACCATAAATATCCTCCAATTGCTTGGAAATATGGCACAAAGTACAAGCTAAGACGGAACTTTACACACACCAAACTTGAAGTATGTAGCTTTAGTAGTTTTGCTTTGGGGTGTTGTACAAATTTGGTGTTTTTAAAGGCTATTTTTTTTTCACGGCGGAATGAGCAAGAACAAGCCTACATAGATATTCAAATATGCTTGTGAGTGTCGAGATCTATATATTGTATGTGATGTATTTTAAGACTGTTAAATACTTTCATGAATTTAAAAAAATGTATGAGTGAGAAAGGCAGAGAGAATCGATTGCCAGACATACACAGCTGATCAGTGTGAACAAACGTGCTCAAAGTGCCTTCATAAAAAACACAATTTCTCTGTGTGTAATGACGGTACAAACAAAATTTCAGCACCCCACCCTCTAGGCAGAATTAGCAAGGGAAAAAATAAATTGACCTTTTATAAAATGAGTTAATGCACTGTATAAAAGCAATCTTTCTTGAATATTATAACTTACTCTTTCACGGGAACCATTCCAATGTCTGGGCCAAAGCGAGATAGGAAAAAAAAAGAAAAATAATAAATGTTAGTGAAAGCAGGATTATGCAACATCTTGTAAACATTTTTAAAAACCCACAAATTGGAAGGCAACACATTGCATTTGAATATTTATAAACAAACACACACATACACACACACAATCACACACATACAAAAAGATAAAAAAAAACCCCAAGGGATTTAAAAATAGACATTAGACTTTTGAGTAAGAAAAGACCAATTGCAACCACAATTTATTAAACATGAGGAGGTGGAGGTGGTCAGCTCTTACAAGTGTCTTGGTGTAACAATTAATAACAAACTTGACTGGCATCCCCACGCATAAAAAAGTAAATCAAAGAATCTAATGTTCCTTTTAAGGAAATTAAGAAGTTTCCGTGTTGATAATAAGATTATGTCCCTTTTCTTAGGTTGGTCGTTGTTTTTCCCCTGTTCTTCTTTGTTAGCTTCACATTGCTGGTTGTGAGAGTAAGTATCACAGGTCCGTGGTCCGTGTCGACGATGCAGTTTGGAACAGTTCTCAAATCTTTGGCTGTATGTCTTTGTTTTCTGGACATCAGGATGAAATCAATTTGTGATGCATGGCACAGGTCATTCCATTTGTACCAGGTCTCGATTTGGCTTAGTCTGTGTTGGAAAAAAGTGTTCGTAAAATCATGTCGTGCTCAGCACAAAGGTATAGTGACATTTCTCCATTGCTGTTGCAGTCTGTATCTTTGTCACTGTGGGGTCCCAAGTACTCTTCTCAAGGGGTTCTTCTTGGTCCAACTCTGCTATTTAAATCTCCCAAGATAAACATATCTTCTTTGTTCTTGATGGTGTTAATGTGGTCACTCAGGTCTTGGAAATATGATTGTCTGTCTTCCTATAAAAAGCTGTCGTTGTTACAAGGAGCGTATGTTTGGATGTACATTGTTGTTTTGCGATCTTTTATGAGTTTTATGCTCACTATTCTCTCTGAGATCTGGTTGATTTCATAGATTGTTTCCATTTTGGCTGGGTGTATGATGAAAGCTACACCATGTTTGGCTCTCTCATTTTCAGGTGTTCCGCCCCAGATCAGGAGGTAGCCTTTATGGGTCAGCTTGCTGTGGTTGTCTCTCTTCCTTATATCTGACAAGCCCATGATCGCTATTTTCTTTCTTTCAATGAAATTCATTATTTCTGGTTCTTTGTCTCCAAGTTTGCTGACATTCCATGTGCCTATTTTAATCATTGTTCTAGCTCGCTGTCCGTTTACTTTTCCTGATCTTTTTCCGTTTGAATCTGTCCCTGTATTCTCCTTTGTTTTTTTCGTAGCATGACTTATCCGCCGTCGGCTTGCTAGGCCAGTCACAGTTTCCCCCGAGCCCCTTTAGCCAGCAACGTTTAGGGGTGACCCAGGTCGGCCTTCACGGCTAGCGTAACGCCTCAGTGACATAAAAAGAAGCCATTTAGTGCAGGGGAAAAAAGAAAAAAAACAGGTAGGGAAACAACATAGGGCAATAAAAGAATTGAAACTAACCAAAGGTGCCCTTCATCCACCCACTAAGAATGAAGATAGTTACCCATATTTTTAAAATAGTTTGTGACACCCCAAAACCACCCCGTAAGAATGAAGACTGCAACACTGATTAGACAAAAAACTAAACCGTAACTCACATGTGACCTTGAGGATGATGTCTTCGCGCATGCGAATTAAGTTGAGCACATCGTCATGGATGGCCTCAGATATTGTGAATCCATTCACACGTACGATTTCGTCTCCAACCTGGAATCACAGGAACAGAAAATTATTAACAAATTTGTAGTCAA